GATCCTGACACACGTCTTACGCCTCCTCTACATTCATAAGGACTTTCAAACACGTTCGCCGGTTATGGGTGCTTTAACAAGGCCTGTCAGTAGTACACTGATCTGGTCAGTATAATGTCTTTCGGGGCCTTCCCGCTCAGGCAGATAATACATGTAACATAATACATGCACTTAACAGGTAATATTATAAATGCACTAGGCAACTTCAGGTCTGTATGAATTCGGTGCTTGATAACGAATTAAGAACGGAATATACCTATCTAGATTATGCCCGCGACTTCTCCGCGTTAAATTAGGATTTAGTGCAGAGAGAAATAAAACAGAACAAAAAAGGTAATAATTTGTGTTTCCTTTTCCTAGGTCACATCTATGTTTTCACCAAAACTCATCAAAATCGGTTATGTGGTTTATGTTTATGCATGGCGGTTAACGGACAGTAACTTTGAGGGGTCCTGGTTCTATGTGTAATGTATGTAAATTGAAATTGAGGATATTTGATAATGATTCATAATGTGAAAAAATTATAAATAAATGGGTAGGCAGTTTTTTATTCTGCGTAAACATTCAGATTATGCGATGTAGAAACGTGTGAGCAAGCCATGTAGAGCTGACCGTGGCAAAAAAAGGTGTGCCCAAATGTATTCCTACTACCTTCAAGGTTTGACTCTGTGATTTGTTGACAGTCACTGGAACTGCTGTTGATGCCGAGCTTGGGACTGTTCTGGTGTTTCATCAGCTCGTTGGGATGCCAGATATTCAGCATGCTGTTGACGACGAGCTTGGAACTACTCGGGTGAACTCTGTGTGCTTCACCGCCTGTTCAAGCCTTCGAAATTCAGCTTGTGGAAACACCTCACCAAGTCTAGCAACTTTCATAGTTATTAGGGCTTTGGGAAAGATTAGACTTATGCTTTCGCGGCATAATTCTGAGTATAGTTGCTTTTCTACACCACCAAAAAATCCAGTACGGCAGCTATTATTATTTTATACTCCAAAAATACAATACCAGCTGATCCAATTAAAAAATGAAATGCCTATGTACCTATGTAATACATTAAATAAAAACGAAATAACTTGTTTCAAGTGTAACTAACCACAAAAAAAACCCTTCTAATAGCAACCCATCACAGTATATTAAGTGCGCTTTTAACAAGTCACTAGTGCCTCGAAAAATCGCAAAACGGACACAACCATCAACGCCGATGTCTGCCCGCGTTCGGGTTGCACACTCGGCGATGACCGAATTTCTTCACTTACGACTCCCGCCGCCGCGCGCGGTGACCTGCGTCCGGATGCCGCTCGCCGCGGCATCATTATTTTGCTACGGTGTTTTTAAAACTACGATACCTTCGATTTCAATGAATATCATATATTCATTGAAATCAAATGATGTAAAGGGCAATTTTGTTCTTAATTAAACACTTGTGATAAATAACGTACCTATTTATTTGGATAAGGATAAATACTAAATTTAAAAAAACACCTCAAATGATGCATTATTAAAAATTGATTTGCTCAGCATGAAGCTACTGGTCGCTACAACAGTGACGTTACCCTATCCTATCAAAAAACCGGTTTGATTTTTTGTAACCAATAATAATAATTGTAAACAAAAGAAAAACGTGTTACTCTTTTGAAAACAACGAAAATCATAATATTTCATAAACAACCATGCTTCAAAGTAGTAACTTGCTCTCAGAGTGTCGCCCGGCACCCGGTGGCTTAAGCTCTGGGTTTAGCCATTAGATATATAGAAAACTCTGTATTTTTATATCGTTCTACAAGTAATATGATACATAAAAATGTCAGACATGCAATGTACAAAGGGCTGCTTTATTGCTAGGAACAATTTCTTCCAGGGAACCTTAGGATGGATTAAAATGTTTTGGAGAGACAGTAGCAGTTGAAGGTGCAATGAGTTTTGTCAATTTAATTACCAATTAATATAAAGGAGGTAAAATTAAATAAATATTTACTAACAAAACACATATTTGTACATACCAACAAATATAATAATATATAACCGTACATATACATACATATATATACGAAAATACGATCACATATCCGCTTGCCGTACGCAACTGTCATGGTTACCTATAAGACAGCGCCGCAGTTCGAGAGCTCTGACTGTGTTACACTCTCTTCTCCACTCATCTAACTCACCTACCTACTTGAAATCCCACTTTCAATATCTCTGCTCTAATCATGACAGAACTCTTCGCTCTTCCAACAATCTTCTCCTTCTTTGTCCTTCACATAATTCCAGTATGGTCCATTCTTCCTTCCCTGTTCAAGCTGTAACTCTTTGGAACACACTCCCACTAGAAATCAGGGTGTCCACTAACCGATACACTTTTAAGCTTAAAGTACGGAAGCTCTATAGAGACTTGTTGACGGAGTCATCAGAATAACACCCTAAGAGTATATTTATTAACATATATATTATAATATATTACTCGTATATATTTTTTGTCATTTATTATGATATTTATATGTATAAACTATATGTATGTATATCTAGTACTTATATATCTGTAGGATTTGTTCTTTTCTGCCATTGTAACATGGCTTCATTGCCAGATGAGACTCATCTTTACCTGTCCCAAATATACACCTGCCACACACAGCTTTGCAACACCCAAAGGTTTGACTGGAAGAAAATGCCTGAGGCATTAAGTCCGCCTTATGCAATATGTTTGCAGGAAGACTCAATAAATAAATTTATATAAATATATAATATATATATATACACAAGAAAAAAAAGGGAACATTCTTATCATTTCTTAATACGTAATCATCAACAGCCTTTAATAATCCACTGCTGGACATAAGCCTCTCCTTAGAAAGGAGGTTATGACCTACTACGTACGTAATAAACTGACTTAATCAAGGTACATAAAATTCTTAAACCATTTTCTTAAGGCTGCTTATCGTTTGCGCTCGCCTGATGTTTATCGCAATGCATCCCACAAGCGTACAGCTTCATCAGTAATAAAGAATGGTAATAAAATTCTGTGGAATGCAGAGGCATCTCCAACCTCAAATTCTCGGATGACCTCAGCCATTTTTTATGTGTCATTAAGGAACTTGAACCATTCTTTAAGGTAGATGGGGGATTGAACAAGATGTTATAAAAAAAAAGTGAGGATATGAGCATTCCGGCAAGAGCGAATCGGAAGCCACTTGAGCTTTTGACGGAATTCAGAAACGTGATCAAATTATCTTAGCCCAATTACAAATCGTATACAGAGATTTTGAAGTCGCTCAAGCTTATTAAAATGTGCTTCAGTGAGATTCAGATAGCTGACATCGGCATAGTCGAGAATTGGGAAGGGAAGTGCTTGTGCAAGTGCAGCCTTATTTGCATTTGGAAGAAAGTTTCGTCGTCTTCGCAGGGGGTGCCTGCGAAGACTACGAAACTTGGCAGAAGCAAATAACTTACTAACTTAACTTCTTGTATATGTGGACTCAATGAAAAAGTATTTTCTAAATAGATTCCTAGATTTTTGACACTAGTACTGATCTCAAGTGTGTTGCCATTGAATTGAATTAAGGCTGTTGTGACCAACCCAGGGCTACCAATTGCACATACTTGCGTCACAGTCACAAGTGTAACTGCAGTGACTAAAACCAGTCTTTACATATTATGATTATGATTGAAAAGTAGCAGAAATTTCCATGTCAAACAAATCACACATCTATTTATTTATTAATAAGTACTACCACATCATACATATTATACTTATAACTAGTTTTGACAATATGTGGCATTACACCTGATGTGTATGACAATTAAGGTGTACATAGCATTTACTGTAATGTAGTATGTAGTAGTGTAAAAAGTAGTAAACTAATTACAATCAAACGAGAAAAAAAAAACGAACTAAAGAAGAGTATACTTAATAATAATAATAAACTGTTTGAATTAATACTACTCTAAATCTATTTTATATCTTATTCACATTTGTTTGGGGTTAAGGTTGATGGACACAAAACATTTGTTATTTTGGTTTTAAATTCATTAAACGATTGGCGAAAGATGTCAATGTCAGGATCTTGAGTTTGGATACTATTATATTGGTTAAAGACTCTATTTATTGGTGAATGTTGGCCTAAATTAGTTCTTGAAAATTGTGTGTGGAATATTTTAGTTATTCTATGTCTGGGATAAGAGTGAGGCACCTTCACTGATATTTTTTCTAATAAATAATTGTACTGTATATTATTATTAATTAATTATCAATTAATTAATATTAATTAATTAATTTATGAAGAAAACAAAGGTCAAAAACGCGTCTGCGTTCACACATCAAAAAGTTAGTCAAAAATTCTAAAACTAAAGCCAAAAAGTCGCTTAGGATGTTTTTCACTGCAGGTATAACACGTACATGTGTGTGTTTCATATTTGTGAATCGAACGCAAATGTTGGAAATATACAAAAATAAAGTTTTTTTAAATTTTTATTAAAAAATCATGTAATAAATAACATCAAATGAACTTATACTAGACTACGCTCCACTAATTAATTACACACTATGCATACCACATCTAGCTACCCTTAATCTTTGTACTCTGCGATAACAGAACAAGTTCTACAATATTTTAGTTTGCAAAAGTATTCACACTTTCCCTCGAAGTTAATTATTTATTTTTAACTTGCTTTGTATTAACTACTTAGATTTGCCGCTCCATATAAATATATTGTTAATTGTATAATTATGTTCTCATGTAAGTGAATGTTATTCTTAATGAGAATAAAGTTTCTGAAACCCGAAATTTTTGATTCTGCGAACAGATTTTTTTGCTGTGTCGTGCCGTGACGACAGAAGTATTTAGTATTTATATTATCTATGGAAGTAAGTAGTTTAGAACCATTCATTCATTTCATATCGAAGTAAGAATTCGTCCAGTTTCATTTTCCTGTTGAAGGAATATGTGTGGCTTTCGTTGCAAATAATAATTATTTTAAAAACGCTGTGAGACACAAAACAAATAAAATGGCAGATAGTGCTAGCCAATCGGAAAAAACTACTGATGAGGCTTCAGCTGAAAATAGAGTTGTTGAAACCAATGGGTCATCTCAAGAAGCTGTTGATGTAAGATAATTTATAGTAACTCATAACATTTTGTGAAATGTCTGTGAATATATTGTCATTTTCTTATTTTTCATTTAATTATCTTATGTATTACTTGCACTTATGAAAAAATAACCTTATCGAGTTCTTGACCTTTATTTCTGTTTAATTTAAATTACGTTGTTCTAGATCAATGAACAAATTGAGGAACAGAGGCGCAGAATGCAGCCTTCGAAAATGGAGTCTTTTTTTGCTGTCACCAAGTCATTGATAATAAGAGCATTAGTTGTTTATTTCATTACGTCTATGTTTCGCCAACCATCAGCACCAAAGACAGATTTAAGCAGTCCTACTGGAGGATCACCCCAAATACCTGCTGTAAATATGTTTTCAAATGGAACAGTATTAGATTTGTATTGCTATATTTCTGAAAAGGAATTCTATGGGAATATTGATGAGAATGATTTAGTTTGGAAACATACTGGAATTGTCTATGGTGATTGGTTCAGTGGACCCAATAATGATGGGACATTTCATCACTCTACTTCTATAATTCCTTCAGAAGTTCTTAAAAACAATGGATCAATATACATTCATATTTATGTAGTTCAGACAGGGAAATCACCAAACCCAAAGGACAAAGAAAGTTATGGGGGACCATATATCACTTATGGCAAAAAAATGTTGAACAAATACAAAAAATTACGCTATCTCAAAACTCATAACCTATTAACTGGTCAAACTGAAAAGTCTGCAGAAGAAATTATTAAAGCTGAAACCTTGAAAGAAGAAATAGTTTCACATTGGCATCCTAATTTAACTGTTAATTTGGTGACAGATCAGACTAATTGGATGCAAGGCAGTGTCCCACCTCCATTAGATGAATTCATTTTCTTTTTACCTGACGGTAAACAATATAAGCCAGCAGTATTTTTGAATGACTACTGGAACATGATGCGTGATTATGTGCCCATAAATAAGACAACTGAAGTACTTGAACTAGAGCTAACATTCCAACCATTAAGTCTTTTTAAATGGCAGTTGTATACAGCACAAGCTATGAGAGATAAATTAAGCATGTTCTCCGCTTTAGGTGCTGAAGAACAAGATGAAGAGCAGGATACAGTAAAGGAGCTACTTCTGGATACTTCACCATATTTGCTAGGCCTCACAATATCTATTTCTATTCTACATTCAATATTTGAGCTGCTAGCTTTCAAAAATGACATTCAGTTTTGGAATAACAGACAGTCACTTGAAGGTCTTTCTGTAAGATCTGTATTTTTCAATGTCTTTCAGTCCACTGTTGTGTTGTTGTATGTTTTAGATAATGAAACCAATGTCATGGTAAGAATATCATGCTTCATAGGTTTGATGATTGAGATATGGAAGATAAATAAGGTTATGGATGTCAAAATAAATAGAGAAGATCGTATATTTGGTATACCAAAGCTTACATTGACTGATAAAGGATCTTATGTAGAATCAAGCACAAAGCAGTATGATATGCTGGCTTTTCGCTATCTGAGCTGGGCATGCTTTCCTCTTCTCCTAGGGTATGGGGTCTATTCATTATTGTACCAGGAACACAAAGGATGGTACTCATTTATGTTAAACATGATGTATGGCTATTTACTAACGTTTGGCTTCATTATGATGACACCTCAGCTTTTTATCAATTACAAATTAAAGTCTGTTGCCCATCTACCATGGAGAATGATGACATATAAGTTCCTCAATACCTTCATAGATGATATTTTTGCTTTCGTCATTAAAATGCCAACAATGTACCGATTGGGTTGCTTTAGAGATGGTAAGTTTACAACAGTCTTTATTAAATAGCCATGAATTTCTCTTCTAACTACTACTTATAAACAGTTGCTAGCCTTGAAATCTAAAATAATGGCTTTCATCACAATCACTGTTATCTCAGACATAGTTATCTCATTTAATGACATTTTTTTTTTTCTTTTTTTGTAATTTATTTTATTTTATTTTAATTTTTGAATTTTCTTGTGGCTTTGAGCAGGTTGTCAGTTACAGGTTACTTTCATGAATAAAATAATGTTATTTACATAAAGCTCACCTTAATCAGCTTACAAACAAAACAGTCTCTAACTAAAATCAGTGTTAGTTATTTTACATCAACCTGCTCCCGACATTGCTGGTTTATTGTACAAAACTTTTTAATATTCTATTATTATTCCAGATATTGTGTTCTTTATCTTCTTATATCAGCGGTGGATTTACAAAGTTGACCACAAGCGTGTTAATGAGTTTGGATTCTCTGGTGAAATGGAAGAACAACAAAAGCTGGCTAAAAGTGGTACTCCAGCCATTACAGAAACAGAACAACCCGGTGACAAAAAGAATGATTAACTTTTATTTAAATTAAATTAATTTTGTTATAGACTACCTCAATATGGTCACATGATTAGAAAATTACTGTTTAAGTTATGTGAAACGAGGGTTATGCTAATTAATATTTATGGTTAATATTTATCCAAGTTCTAGTACAATATATTTATTCAACACTTTATATTGCCCATGTATTTGATAACAAATTAACTAAACAAGTGATGAATGTGTGTTGCTTGTGAGGTATCCTGATTTAAATCATGCCATATTCATAAATGTGGATTGATGGCATTTAACTAGTTAATATTTAGGTATTTGTGGTAATGCATTATAATAATACTTATTATAGATGTATATTATTATAGTTTAATGCAACTATTATAATCCAAAGTCAAAAGTCCCACAGTATTTATTATAAAACACTTATTTGGTATTGTCACATTAAAATATTTTTATTTTATTTATGAACTAATCTTTTTCTAAAGGTATCCTCTGCATCATATTGTAACAATAAATACAGATACCATTTTTTGTGCTTTTACTGTATTTGAAGGATAACTAGAGGTGAAATAAAGGAAAACATTGGAACAATTGAGATGGTGTGATCTTGATCTGTGATTACTCACCTCTAAACTCTGATAATGTAATCTATTATTATTTTTATTAAATTTTGTTTTTTTTTTTTTAATTTAGTATGCAATTTAATATTTTACGTTATTCAAAAAGTTATAGTTTATAAAAAATACAAAAAAGACATTTTTCATACCTTGAGCAATTGTAGATTTTTATTTCAATGATTAATAAGTTGTGGTTGTGTGTTTTTGTCATTCATATTGATTTATTTTTCTCAATTCTTTAATTGTCGTATTTTGTGGTTAACTTTTTTATTGTTATAAAATAAATTTTACTTAAATGTACTATGTATATCGTAATTGTAATGTTAAAGACGTCTAGCTCTTATATACAGTTCATACTTCTTTTGTGTCTGATGTGAAAGATGAGACTAATTCTTATGTGCTTATCGTCAATAAAAGTTGGATTGCAAATATTGGAAATTGTAGAAAATATTACTTAAAATTGAGTCTCAATGGAACTTCAACTATCAATTTAAGTACAGTGTCGTCGAATAAAATGTCGAAAACACGTCACTGTTCTGATTATCTATTGCTTAGTTTAAACAAAGGAAGGAGTGAATTAATACATCTGATAACAATATACTTTACCTTGAATTGGAAAATAAAGTTGTTGCACTACACATCTGTATGAAATTACCTTTTGAGTCGACATTCAATTTATTGAGAAATGCTAGTTAAACCTTACAATAGAAAATATTTGCTACTATGTCTTTGTGTAACTATGAATTACCTGGAGTTACTTATTTGTTAAATAGTAAGGTTAAGTACATTAGGCAATAGGGCAATCACTGATAGGCGAGTGTCCTTCTTGCCAGTTAATGCATAGGTCCAGATCCAAAAAAATAATAGCATAGTTTTGTCTGTATTTTAGATTCATATAGGTACGTAAAAACAAATGGGCTCACTCCAGTTCTTACTTACGTAATGACTCTAAAATTAGAAATTTATGGGTGTAACAAAGATATGTTAACAATACACTTAGTTTGAGTGACGCGGCGGCGCGTTTACAATCTACTTTGCCTTGAACACGCAACGAACAAACGAAGAATACTTTTGGGTTTAGATAAATAAAGCAAGATTGAAACTAACTCCCGTTATCTAGACTACGTTATATTTTTGGTGTTGTTTAAATGCTATCTACTGGTTTGCGAATTTTAAATGCTAGTTCGTGTGATTGGGCGTCGTCAATTAGTGGCTACATTTGCTGATATACTATTTTACGGGTAATAAAAAAGTTTAGAACTTCAGAAAACAGCAGGTTGAAGTCTAATACACATATTTATTTGTTGCAACCTTTTTTTTATTAAACATCCATACAGTCGGGCAGTCTATCCGCGGTTCATAATCGTTTTCTATTATTTTTTTTTATTGTTATTTTTGACTGCTAAAAAAAATTAAAGAAACTACATAACATCACACAAATGGTTATCTATTAACTCTTAATTATCAGCCACTCTGTCGACCTTTTGGGGATCTACTTATGTTAAAATTGTTGACTAAGGCCGCAGTATAGTAATCATATAAAAATACTAGTGCACCCGACAGACGTCCTGTACACACGTTTTATAAAATTTCACACTTTTTGTGTTTTTTAATTTAAACCATTCTCAAATCCACTTGAACACACAAAAAAATCATCGAAATCGGTCCAGCCATTAAGAAGAGTTCCAGAGCCTAACCTCATCCCCCTCTAAATAGTTACAGATTCCGTGCTGCAGCAGATCCCATCCACGTAGATCGTGATACTGGGCGACTTTAACGCTCATAACGCCGAATGGCTTGGCTCACGAAAGATCGCTCACGCGGGAAGATCTGTTCACCATTTCGCTCTAACCTATGGCTTTTCACAACTAGTATCAACGCCCACGATGTGGAAAGACATGAGTCTTCGTCGTTGTACCTTCTGCTGACCTCGGACCGCACGGTTATAAAATCGTCGTTGAAGCCGCACTTGGCTCCTCGGATCATTGTCTAATCCGCAGTACAGAGCCACTCACGTGCTTGCCGCGGCCGCGTGTTGCAGGCTGCTGCCGTGTATGGCACTGTAGGTCAGCGGCCTGGGATGGGATGCGCTCCTTCTTTGCGTCCTACCCATGGAAGCAGGTCTGTTTCTTACCGGATGATCCCACCGTCGTTGCCGATTCTGTCACTGATGTAGTACTTCAGGGCATGGAACTGTTCGTTCCTTCTACATTAATTCCCATCGGTTGCAGATCCAAGCCCTTGTTCGACAGATCCTGCAAAAGGGCGTCGGGCCAAAAGCGGGAATGCTACCAAGGATGGGCAAATGCAGCGACGGCAGGCGATGTAAATACCAGCACGCTATAAAAACAATATAACTTTGCCTCCAGGTCCCTTAAAAGAGAGCCTTTACTAGGGCGAAATCTGAGCACATCAGCCGGATAGGTGAGAGGCTGGTGAGACTTCCTTCTGGAACTCGTGCATTCTGGTCTTTTGCCAAGGCTGTCCAGGAGAATTTCTGTAGCTAATCCTTTCCACCCCTGCAGATGGATGATGATTCGTTGGCCTATGATAGAAAGGAGAAAGCCGATCTAGGCAAACCCTTTGCATCCAACTCGACTTTGGATGACGGGGCAAACGTAACGCCTACATTCATACGTCGACATTCATAAGTCGTGTGGGCCCGATGGAATCTCTCCTATCGCGTTGAAGACGTGTTGTTCCAGAGTGCTGCTTTTTCGACTCTCACTTCCAAGGGGGTATTTATGCAAATTAGGCGGCCAAAATTATTTTCTTTATATAATGTATTCTAAATAGTTTACTTTGTTTTATTATAAATGTTTTAGGCATTTGGTAAACATAATTTAAAATAATAAACAATTTTACATGAAAAATAATTATTTATTTTAAAACCAAAACAAAACTTTTTAATTTACGATGAAGAGTCCCAAGTCTTTTCACTAGAGCACCATTCTTTTATTTCACTGTCAGAATCTTCTGCGGCAGATTCCTCAACACAGTAATTTTCTTCAGCCATGTTGGAAGCCTCTGCAGAAATCAACATTTCTAAGGCTTATTTACTATGTGGCACAGATTTCTTTTCTTGTCATATGATATGATTAGGGGATCTGCGCTGAGCATTAATCTATTCATTATGTCTAGATTGCATTGCTCTCTAGAGAATTTTCTTGCATAATTCTGCCGGTACAGTCGAATGTGTTTATTACGTGCCACTGCTGCTTCCTTTGATAACAAACCTATCGACATGGGGTGGCAGGGTTATAAGTTCATGTACATCTTTGCAGTATCATGCCTTTATAGCTTTTTTTTTAAATCAACTATATAGGAACTTGAAATAACTTCCAAAATCACTTTTAGCTGTCTTATTAGGCTTAAATCCACACCAGTGATTTCAGTAGCAACTTCGGGATTGGCAAAGAATCTTCTGCTGGTATTTCCATCATTGGTATGGCCAAAACCAGCTTTTGGTATATCAACTAACAGCCAAGTTGGCTCCCTATTTTTTTTCTATTTCTGCCTTTCTCCGTTTCACTATGTCTTTGCCATTTTCCGACCTCAACTGCCATTTTGCACAGGAATTTTGTATGCTAAATAAAAATCGAATCGTAGCATGCAGTACCGATAGCCCAAATTGTATTGCATCAATGTCGACAGTTTTCCTTATGTTGAGGTTAGATATTAAAATCCTTCGATGTCGCACCACAAATGTAGCATTTCAAGGTTGAAGTAGTGGCTGTTGCAGCATTGCATACTTTAGCGTCGACCATAGTCAAAGTCAACATTTCTCCTTGTACGAACTCGTTCTATTGCAAAGCGTTTATAGCGTCTTCTACGTATGCAATTTCAGACTTTGCAAATATATCTTGCAAATTAATTTCAGCACATGTTTCAGTTATTCGCCTCTACGCCTCTTTCGCCGGATAGCAAGTCTTCTTTTCTTTTTGCAACAATGTATAGCTCGTATAAAACTTCTTGTTAATGGGGTTAATGGGGTGTCAAGTGCTCCAGGAACCGAGAAAATCAAAGGAGGGATAAATGGAAAAAGTTGAAGGGTGAGGGGGAGGCATTTTGTGTGGACCTCAATGCAAACATAAAAAATAAGTCATCCCTCGAAAATAACCGCCCCTCGCCCCCTGTTTAGAAAAACAGACTGAAGTGTTGTTACATATTACGATACTTTAAAAAAAAAATGTGTATGGGCCAGATTGTTCGTCTCCTTTTCCCTGTTCAGGCAAACCCAAACATGGGAGTCCAAGTGCTCCAGGTACCGAGAAAATCAAAGGGGGAATAAATGAAAAAGATGAGGGGAGAGAAGGGGAGGTATTTTGAAGGGACCTCAATGCAATTATAAAATTTTTGGTGGGGGGGGGGGGGTATTGTATGTGGATGTCATTACATTAATAAAAATAAACTGGTCTCCCCCCTTTGTCATGTCAAAGGAACACCCTACCTTAAAAAAAGTTCTGATATTCATCGATAGATGGCAAAACTAAAAAGTATCACCGCTGTGCCGGTCGGAATCTGGAAATTCTGGATTCGGTCTCCACGCTCAAGGCCCGCGATAGAAGCTATGCAATAGCTTAAAAGTAAATTAGTCAATTTAGGTGGTTTTGCACTATATCATTCATTGCCCTTGAAAACTTCGATTTCACGGGAGATCACGCCTAAATTCAACGTTTTCAATTAAATTAAATACTCTCTTCTATATACTAATTAACAAAACTTATGGGACGGATCCTGAAGTGCAACTCAAACCAATGCAATGGTGTGAACAATTAACGTGTGTGCAAAACTTCGTGTTGTAACGAGTCCCGCTAATTTTATTTTTTAAATTGACAATAGGTTCTGTGTGTAGTGTAGTGTGAAACTGAGTGAATTATCAGTCTTTTAATTTTATTGGGATATGGGTATCAACATCCATAATGCCGTGAGTGACCTTCACAGCCGCGGAATATCCTGACATGATGGTAATTTATGGGGAACTCCAACAAAATGCATCTTTTGCTTTACGGACAGGTATGAAGTCAATCGTGTATGTCCTAAAGACTGCCGAATTATTGTAAGGGTGGTACAAAGATTACGAGACAACCAAAGTACCTATTTTTTCAAGGCGTTACGTACTGCCGGATCCGAAGCTAGTCGAGCATTCCCGAATTAACACGTAAATAAATTCTTATCTTTAATAAATTGATTTTTAAAAGCAAGTGAAGTGTTTAATAGATAATAAGAATGTAAAGTTCGCCGGCTCGTCGCGGCGACGGCGTCGCTTTCATGTTACCGACATTGCGATGCTTTCGTCTACAGTTCAGCGACTCATGTTATCTATGGTGTTGTAATTTTCGCCAATAATTTATTGCATTTATTTTGTTCGAAATTTGCATTTCTGTAATTTCGTACTAATATTTTTTTTTATTTCTCATAAGCTCTGTTATTTATTTATTTCTTCTAAGCTTTGTACCGCCTTGTATATCCATCCCTAGTTTGGATTGTGATTTAGGGCATCTACGAAAGCAACAGAATAATAACACTGAAAGAAGTATTTTTTTATTTTACAAGCGATTGTACATAAATCACAAAATATAAAGATATTATTCAATAAAACAATCATAGATGTAAACATTACTCAGAATACAACAAAATTTTCAATTAACGTAATGAAAAAATAAAAACTAAGAAATTCAAATGCAAAAAAATTGTATATAATAGATTTTATTTTCGAGATACACGTAGTGTGGTTTGAGTTATAAACAACGTTTACTAGCATATATATAATTGGTATCGCCGGATGATAATAATTGGCGACTCGAAATAAATTTTATATGGTAGGTATAATGATGACGAAAAAAAAATAACTCAACTTATTAAAAATGTTACCGTTAACTGTGAAGCCAAAACCTGGATCAAAACAGTTTACATCGCGTGTAACTATCAATACGCAGACGTTTTTCAACTTGAGTTATTTCTTTGTGCATTTTTATATATTATCTGTACCTGGTAACATTTTTTGATTTAATTTGAAACATTAACGTCAATAGCAATTGGTATTTTACAAGCACGTGTTCTGGCATAAGATCACTACTATGTATGTAAACTTCACATACTATTAAACTGTTGAAAAATTTCGTGTCAATCAATCCTCTGATATTTTATAGTAAAATTATAAATTAACGTTGAGATAGATAGACAGATAAACAGATATCGCTAGTTTATTTAAACGATAATTTGTAATTACCTATAGACTAATAACAAGTTGTTCTTTTTATATATAACTACAATAGGGAGATTGCAACGACTTCTATCATTACAATATCTACGATAAAAATATACAAAACAGACAGACCAAGGATACTTTCACATATTTTTTACTTTTTTCCGAGGTATGTGACAACAAGCTCACTGTAACAGAAGTTACGTTATGTTATTGAGAGGGGGCAGCCGGGCGCCCAATGGCCGCGAGCTCCACACCGGTAGCAGCGTCCGTAGCCACCATAATATGAACCGGGTATCCCCTCGATGAATTCTCGACGCCTTGTTCGAGAATCTGTAGCTGCACTACTCGCTCCTGGTTCTAAATATTAAAAAAGTCTGTTTGGAAACATAAAACTGCTCGTTCTCCTAATAAATAGTTCTTGTATTATATAACAAAACTATATGTGTATGATATTGATGATTTTGGAAATCACTAGTAAAGCATGTTCCCTTGTTTATAAATTACAGATGTAAAAAAAAAAAAATATCTACTCAAACGTACGTACGTACTTGAACTATCCCAAAATACTTCCACAATTAGTACAAGTTTTGTTATAAGTGCATCTATATATACTTTTTGGGAGCTTTTCTATAAAACACACTTGAGTAATGTGACTGGCAGGATTTAGACACTCACGCAACACTTTCTGTGAAACAATTATTTTGTTTTTTTAATATTTTACATGTAAAAGTCGCTGATAACACGACAAAAAATATCATGTATGCTAAATGATAAGGTAGAATTCATAACATTATAATACAGTTTTGCGTAAAAAACGAATGCCTATATACTGTAATTAATGCACTAACAATAATTCATCAAGATATTATTGTAAAGCGCGCTGCGAGCGTGTGATTTTTTTAATAATATCAATTAGCAAATTATAATAACGCAGCGTGGGCCTCCTACAAGGTGGTCCGATGAACTGGTGAAGGTCGCCGGAAGCCGTTAGATGCGGGCAGCACAGGACCAGTTGTTGTGGCACACCTTGGGGGAGGCCTATGTCCAGCAGTGGACGATGATGATGATGAATTAGTAATTAATTTATATTATACCTGTGCTGGTGGTCCCGGCGTTCTCGTCAGGTTGAGAGGTGGCATCACTCCCTGAGTGGGAAAAATCGTCAGATCCACCGTCGGAATCGTCGGAGTAGCTATAGTACCGACGGTGACGCCGGTGTCGGTAATACTCCTCGCTGAAATAAAAAAAAAAAGACGTGGCACTCGGGGACTGCCGCGGTAAAGCTATTGCATAGCATTTTTTATCAACTTATGCAATTTTAATTATTTATTTATTTTATTTATGCAGTATTTTTTTTCCTTTGTTTTTTTTTCTTTGATATTAATTCAAGTTACACTTTTTGAGCGTGGTGACCGATAAGAAAACATTTTCTTTTCTTTTATCAAATAAATGAGATGTTAATATTTTTCAAAATATTTTTATTATCTTACAATACATGTAGGTTATCCAGGAATATTTATCATTGAAACTATAGGTTTATGGTAACTGAAATAAGAAACATAAGTTTGAGACTTGATATCTTCTAAATATCTGGAAAATACCGCGTAACAACCAATGCCACCTAGAGGCGAGTTGCTGAACTAAAGAGACAAGCGTGATATTTCAAAAAAGTCATTAAAAGTTCTGCTATTCATCGATAGATGGCAAAACTAAAAAGTATCACCGCTGTGCCGGTCGGAGTGGCGGGTGTTAGGTTATTTTCGTTACGGAATTTCTGGATTCGGTCTCCACGCTCAAGGCCCGCGATAGAAGCTATGCAATAGCTTAAAAATATACTTAAAATGGTTGAGCGAAGGATACGATTAAGTTCAAGGGACTGAATAGATGAGTCCGTTCCGTTACCGTTTTTCCACTGTACCTTCTGATATTTGAGACACAAGAAGAGGCAGTACCCCACTGTGTGGGCCACTTCCACCGCGCTTATATGTGGATTTGATGGTACCAGTACCTATTACTTCCCGTAAAGTGGCTTACATTGCAACGTTGGAGATGAATGAGATGTTTTACAGAGGCACCCATTGTTACATTATGTTATACAGCTTATTTTTAAATAAATTTGTTGTATAATGTGCTCTTAGCGTTTGGTTTACTGTAGTCGTACAACATACAGCTACATATATTTTTTTACGTAATAATATACTATACTAGAAAACAAGATATCTAAAGTATGTTTGAGGAGGGATTTTAAAAATAGGTTTAGGGAGTACTCCTTATGGCGCGTCAGCGCTCACCTCCACTTTCTGTGTTGCTCGCTCCCTCTTCCCTAACGATATTTGATATGATCTTAACAATGTCGTTTTAGATATTCGTTCAGGAAAAGATCTTACTGAAGCTCTTGGGAATCCAAGGTCTTTAAGCAGGTTATTAAGGGATTTTGCTGGTATACCCCTTGCAACAACTTCCACATCATGCAACGAAATAGTCATTTCTAGTTATTTCCTGGATGGCAGTACAATTACATAATGGCACTGAGTTTTGGCAGGAGAGGGGACAATGCTGTGCTTATATGGAAGTGTTAGTTACAGGATGTTGATTTTTGCGCATGGGAAAATTAATGTATATTTAGTCTTGTCAGCGTTTAATGTTAGAAGATTATTCTTTACCAAGTATACACAATATTAAAGCCAAACTGGGCGCTCTCATAAATTTCTTTGCTAAATATTAGAGCCGTGTCATCAGCATATGATATTATCTTTCCATGTCTGAAGGTGAGATTACATAGATCGTTAATATATATCAGGAAAAGCGTAGGACTAAGGATACTACCCTGGGGAACGCCAAAACCAGGTATTATTATTATTGGAGTCGATTGCTTAAGTAGTCTGCGAAAAGTTTAAGCTCCGTATTTCTTATACCAAGAGCCTCCAATTTGTTTACAGGGAAGAAATAAAGATATACTGTCAAATGCTTTGGCAAGGTCTAGAAAAATCCCTTAGGTTTGATTACCTTTGCCGAGTTCACTAGTAATAAAATTAATCATGAACCGCGTCAGCTGTGGACAATTTAGATCTAAAACCATTGTGCTGGCGAGAGAGTGTTTATAGTGAGAGAACCGAGTGTTTATATATTTTTTAAATATTTTTGATAATGAGGGGAGAATCGAAATAGGGCTATAGTTGCTGCCTAGATATTTGCTTCCAGATTTGAAAACAGGAATAACTACCGCTTTTGCTTAACTACCCTTCAGAGAGGCAGAGGCGGAAAATATACGTTAGCGGAGGTACAAGAATGTGCCTGAAACGTGTAAAAATTTTAGTACTTATATTATCCCAGCCGACAGCACAATCATCACGCATACCTAACATGATGCACTCTATTTCGCCTTCATCAGTGTTCAGCATGACAAATGACTTTAGACTAGGGTTAATACTTGCTTTTTAGAGAAGCATAGTAGTATGGCTACAAGTTGGTTGCAGAGTGCGTACGGCAAGAATTTTACCTAGGTTTACAAAATAATTATTAACCTTATTAGCTGTCAGAAGTGGCGAAGTATTAGCATCCAGTAAACTCGAGTTTGATTCACGGTTTTTTAAAGTATAATTGACGTTATTAATATGTTTCCAAATTTCCTTACTATTCTTACCTGCTCTATGCAATATATATTTATCGTAGTTAACTTTTAATTTTTTTTAAAAATATTACAGAAATTTCTGTACCTCTTGTACGTTGCTTGAAGCGCCAAATTATCTGAAGATCGAAGAGCACTCTGATAGAGTTTGTCTCTATGTTTAATACATCGAACTAGACTAGGGGTTCTTTCTCAAGACAATTGTAGATGTGCTATGTAATATTGCTTATTAGACAATCTGTATTAAATACGATAAAGATACATTAGCGTCAGTAATATTGTAAACTAGGCTAAAATCAACATTACATAAATCATACTCGAGATTTGTTTATATTTAAATTAGTCTTTTTGTTGTAGGTCGATTTGCCTATGGCAGCGTTAAATTTACAGCGAGTAGAACGGCGTGATGATCAGTAAAGGTTGAGTTAGTAACTAGCGTGATAGATGATAAGCTAGATTTGATCATCATATGATCGAGACAGGAACCGCTCTGATTTATGGGCAGTGTGCGTGCGCAGGGAGAAGCCTAGGTATGAGCACAGATTAAGGTAGTCTTGTGTTCCCGTGTCGTGATGATCAGATCCAATATTTATGTTTATATCACCTGTCAGTATAATATTTTTAAAAGCAGTAAGAGTTTGAAGAGTCTGATTCAGGGAATTGTGAAAGGCGTCCAAATTTTTTACTGAAGGGGATTTATACTATATCTATATATTTCTATTATGTTTATTGATCTATATATTGGTGCTAATTTTGATGACTAAACAATTGCAGGTTTGTAAAGTTAGTTCTTCGATTGAAACCTGTAAAGACCCCTTAACATATACTACCACGCCATCATTTTTAATTATTTTTTATTGCGCTGTGGTATGCATTGTATCCGGATATAACGGGCAGAGTTTCGCGGCGATTAGATAACCAGCACTCGGTAAGACCAATCACATCACATACAAACGTTTAGTCTATGCTGAAAAATATTTAAGCTGTTTATATTCTTATAAACACTAAGTTTATTTTGGGTAAGTATGGTTAATGAATCGTGGTAAACGAAAAGATATTGTCCTGAAAAAATACAGTTTTGTTTTCATGTTTATATGGCAGTATTACTTACACGAAGTCCTCGTATTCCTGTTCCTCCTCCCCCTCCTCGTTCTCGTCCGAGGAGTATTCGGAGTCCGAGCCATTAACGCTATTTCTTCCGCTGTAACATGTTATTACGAATATAGATGTATATAATACACTCCTACATTGAGTGGGGATAGTTGAAACCACATCTTAATACATTTTAGCGCTCAAGCCGGCCTCGTCGAGGCTTGGTTTTACCACAACAAAAATAAATTAAAGAAATACGTAATGGAATTTAAACATCTGAACCTCTTCAAAGAAGGAATCTTTGCTAGAATGCAATCATTCACCACCAGTGGTGATTCATAAAGTTACGTTTTACCATCCCCACTCAATTTCAACCCCCGACGCAGAGAGGAGGCTTTATAAAGGAGATTGGCGAAATTAGGCCTAACCGTTACAGGAATCGGTCTACATTCAAAATAAATAACGTTATTTTTAAGTAAGTACTCCAAACAATAACAGTTACCGATATTATTGGGAAATAATTTATTTTCTAAAATAACCCAGCTAGTAGCCTTCGAATACAGACAAGAAAAATAAATCGATCGTCGCATTACTAACACGTGGAAGAGCTGGTGGTCCTACAAACACTTTATGAAGAGTGACTTACCAATACTTCTAAAAAAACTCTACCTACTAAACTATACTACCTGTACTGACCTACAGAGCCCAAATGTTGTCCATTACTGTGCGTTAAAAGTACAGTTTGTCAGAGGGCTATGGAATAAAGCATCCCTGGTATCAAGATAAAGAATAGCATCTGATTCGTGTCAGAAATGTGATCTAGCGTGCCATGACAAGAGTACCTAGTAGGCGCGACCATGATAACATTCCCGTTAGGAGTACGAATCCGATGGTGTGGGCATGAGTTGTTACACCGTGGCAGCCACAGAACAAGTATCTTAATGCCTATCGTAAGGCCTGGTGGTCAACTCGTCTGCCCAACAGGCGGTCATCAATAGCTAAAATAAAAATCGATTTGCGTTATATCATCAGCATCAAAGCCTATAACAGTCCACTGCTGGACATGGGCATCTCCTTAGAAAGGAGGTTTTGGCCTACTATACCACGCTGGCCAGACTGGTTGGTATAGGGTTTGTTTGAAGTTTCCTTCTCTTTGCAGTACGGTTGTCCTGCGTAGTTTGCTCCCTTCGTCGGCTCTTACGACACCCACGGGATGAATAGGGTGGTGACATTCCGTATTCTTAATCCATCACCACACGGACTATATAACTCATATAACTAAGTTATATAACTTTTTGAAATTATAATGTCACTGACTATGTGAGTAATCTGTGATGTCTGATTCTGATTGTATTTATCGTGTTGTGAATTGATGTTTTTCATTATTAGAAAAGACTTCGCAACTGCCATTAATCATCTTGACATTAGCCCAATATCAAGATGATTAACTAATATTATTAGGATGTTTGCTTGCTGATTTCTTTTTTTTTATGGTATAAGGGGGCAAACGATCAGACGGGTCACCTGATGGTAAGCAACTACCGCCGCCTATGGACACGTGCAACTCAAAAGTCACAAGTGCGTTGCTGCCCTTGGAGTCCCTCCCGCTCGAGTCAGCGGGAGGGGGCATTTGGGCCCCCGTAACCTCACTCACTCAGTTAAAGGTCAACAAAAGAATTGCTTAACACCGGTTTTCCGTGGTATCACTCTGGTCGAGCCGGCCCATTCGTGCTGAAGCATGGCTCTCCCACCGTATTTTTTACAGAGTCGATTAAAGAGTAGTATTATAAAAACAAATAATAGTATAATTACAACTACTTGGCAAATGCCAAAATGTCTTTTTCGAACCCCTATAGTACTGTCAAACCATAACCTAACTCTTAGTTCAATGATTCCCAATATCTGTGCTATCCCGTAGATCAGGTCTATAATTCGAATACCCCTAGAATCGCGGCAATTTGAGCCAAAAAACTAGCTAGATATCATCAGTGTAACGGTTAGGCACAAAGTCCTAAGGCAATTCGCCGATCTCCTTTAACATGTGTATATATTAGCGTGTATGCGTGTCTTTGTATTTATGGTTTTAAACGTTTACCAATTCATAACAAATATACTTAATGACACGATTGAGGAACCCATAAGCCTGATTAAATTCCTGTTCAGGCTAAACAAGTATAGCGACCAGGGGTTAAAACCAGTTTACAGTCGGAAAAGGCTGAATTTGCTGACTCAGATTTTTTTAAGTCTGACGTTATCTAAACATTTCAACAGAATTGTTTCGTAGGTGTTAGGGATAAAAATAATAAATATTATTTATAAATAGCCTCCACCGTTCCCTTAACCGAAAAACACTTTCCCCTTTATTAGTGAATAATGGATGAAAATAAAAAAAATACACATACATGCATAGATAACATGCAAATAAGGTAGTAATATAATATAAGAGTACAAAAATACACAGTACACATTCACAGAGTACATAATACAGAAAAGAGTTTTTATCGAATTATTCTTCTTAACGATTGTTCTTTTTGATTGTTTTTCTTCTTTTTCTCTTTGACTACATAAGGTAACATATATTTAAAAACATTAAAATACAACCGAATTGAGAAGTTTCTCCATTTTGGGGACGTTAAAATATCTGGGGCAGTTGCTTTACTAAACAAAAAGGTATCTAAATGACTTGTTATTATTGTTACCAGATGGGAATTCGACAAAAAAAGACGAGTAATAGTCGTCGACGACTTATATAGGGCTTCCGAAATGACTAGAATAATCCCTAGGACTCGGTTCCCGATAGTAAGGAATTTCTAGAGTTCAATCTTCCGTTATTCGATACTAGATGGCACAGCAAGTATCGGAATTATAAATCAATATTTCAAGGCGTAGCGTTCGTTGTGCGTTAATTTATACTAGATGGCGCTGTCCTCAAGATTCAATACGACTCTCGACTGTTCACGAACTAACTACACAATACAAGAACCATTTAATCATATGGCGTAACATATCCTTTGTTAGGGACCAACACTTGATAGCCACTTGCACTTCTTTTTTTGATGCAGCATTTAAGTAATGCTGCATAACACTGAAACTGCAAAAAAAGCACTCCATCGAAACATAAAGAGAAATGGGAATGAATACAGACATTTACTGGCTGCTTTTTTAAATATAGAGCTAATACATAACAAATTAAATATAGTCGCTTTGTTATTGACGTAGAAAAACCTGATGGTACTAAATCCGTAAAAATTGCCATGAATTTTTTTTTATAGCATCGCAGAATAGCCCTTTAGGGTAAATAGATGTTACCATGATCATAACCCATAAAATCTCAATTCTTGGGGCCCCATCTTTGACGCTATTTCTATAGTTCCATCTTTCTTTCTTGCATAAACTATATTGGTTATCGTTTGGCCGTAAATTTGCAAGATGCAATTGGGAGACCGATAACTTGACTTTACATTTCTCTTTATGTTTTTGAGTTCATTCATGTCACTCAATAACTTTGTAAGCTCAAGTAATCGAAAATTTCTTCAAGCACACACAACAAACCATGTCACTGTCACCACCCTTACCCATATTACAACAATTACATGTACTATAGTTAAAACATCACGAAACAATCAACATACAACTAACCAATTGTCGTATTAAACTAGGAACCTGTAAAAGACATGCATAATTAAATAAAGGGCAGAAAATGAAAGTAAAGGAATCGTTTTTTTATTTTTTTCCGAAATCAATGTGACTGGCAAAAATGGATAATCGATGCCTTCTCGACATCATGATCCATCAATATTATGCTGCTTATCTAAACATTAAAATAGCATAATTGGTTGTTACCCTCAAATTATCACTGGCACACGATTACTAAAGCAATGTGCACTTAGGCATGCATTACATTCTCATCATCATCATTTTTATCAACAGCCTTAGTACAAACTGCTGGCTTCTTCTTAGAAAGGAGGTTTTGCCTACTATACAACGATGGCCAGACCAGGCCAGGGTTAGTATAGTGTTTGTTTCGAGTTTTCCTTCTCTTTGCAGCCCTACGAGATGAATAGGGGCGGTGACAGTCCGTATTCTTAATCCGTCACTGCACGGAAAAAACAAACCAAATATATAAACCAAATTACTTTTCTCACTATATTGGGCATGTAAAATTTTCTCCATCAATTTTCTATTTTATTCATGCTAACTTAAGTTAGTAGTACCTGTTCCTATGGTAATTGAAATTATTTATGTTTAAGTTCTTTTCCCTTTTTGTATTTTCTTTTTTATCGTTTTGTTTCATATCTATGACATGGAGACCTTTATATTGCGTGCGGAAGACATTGTCTCCGACGCCACCAGCTGTCAGGAGTCAAGGGATCCTCAATCATATATGTACCAACTTATATGTCAATAAATTATTATTCGTTTACGGTTAATAAGTAAGCATACCAGCTGGTTCGTGCGTTGGTCTGCTGGGCCAGCATGGACTCGAGTTCTGTAAACAACACAGCTTCATAAGGCTATTAATATTATTTCACAAACTGTGTCGTTAGTGGGAGACATTAACTCATATTGATTGAATAAATCTGTAATGCTACGCATTGAGCAATTCTAAGTGTACACAACAGACCAAGTCTTGATTTGATTAGGTAAAGATTAAAATCTACAGAGAATTGGTTTTAAGTACATGTTGCAATGCAACGACAAGCTGAATAGATCCTTTCTGTCAAGTGTGATTTAAATTGAATCAAATAACATATTTTAGCCTATAACGGCAAAAACATGTATAATTACGGTATGACCAATGAAAACTCTACAGGAATCTGACACTTTCAAAGAATTCTCTCTCTCTCTGAAGAAGAGACTCTTCATTGTACAAGAAAAACTTAATAATAGAACGGTTTGTATACATTTTTATAAATCTTATGATCTGGGGACAGTTACACTACGAAAGTAAAAATAATTGAATATTTATTGTTGTACAATTGGCGGCCTTATTGCGATTTCTTCCAGGCAACCGCTGGATGGAGCTGAAATAAAGGATGATATGGGGAGTTGCAATTTGCAGTATGATATAATTAAAACAACTAACAAACTCGTATAAATAAGGACACTGAACTTATAAATACATTATTAGGCATGTGTGTACACTACAATAAATAGGATACATTGAAAAAATCAGGAATAAGATGAAGGTATACACAGGATCCAAGGACATCAAGGTCCTATCGCTCAACAATGTAGGATTCAATATTTTTTTATAGCTAGCGAGTGTTTGTGCTCGATTGATTTGCATGCATTCCAAAAACGTATGGCTTGCACAGTAAATTGCTTGACCATAAAAGTTGTGGAATGCTTCGGGATTTTCAAAGTTCTTCGACGATCTTAGCAACCTTGAATATGTATCACGTATGAATTGTGTAGTAGATACATGAAAAAATAATTATTTTCCAAAGACGGGCACTATCGGCTATAGCAGTACTAATAAGCTAATTGTGACTAGCTTTTACTCAGTACAGAAAGAAAGACATGGCTTTCTTTCTGTACTGAGTATTCGTATCGTATCCATTCCTATCTCTTGAATACATTCTTAGAGATGCCAGTTATGGTATAAGGGTGTGTATCTATTAAAATACAATTCGCCTAATGTTATTTCCCTAGATTAAATTAATATAAGACTAAGAATAAATCGACTATTTGTTATGTCAAAAAACTTTTAAAATCCATCATAATAGCTCTAAATAATTGTCACTTGATTATATGTAAACGAGATGATGTGTAAACATTATATATTTCATATCAGACAGGATGTAATTGGCTTATAAGTTTTTACCAATCAATTCAATGACTAGTCAGTATTGTGATCTTCTTAAAACTTGTGATAAAAACTTACTGGCGTGTTATGAAGCTGCATTGTTGACATTAAAATACAATAATAAAGTGAAATATAATTACCTTCTCTGTCTTTTAGTATGTTTTTTCGTTTTTCTTTCATCTCCTCACTAAGGTTTTGTACCATTTTCTCAATAAAAGTATCTAGAACTAAACTCTTACATTCTGACTCTATAGGAGCTCTGAAAAGGAAAACCGAAATTTTCATTTAAAAATCAAGGAATTGGAGACAAGTTGGTTGTATTGCAATTTTGAATAGACCAGAACAAATATTATAACAAATACAGAACCCTAAATAATAGTTTTACCTGCATATTGGACAATCTTTTTTCTTTTTTTTCCACATTGTAATGCAATATTTACAGAAAGTGTGTGAGCAGTTCAGAATTGTTGCAGCAACAAAGAGTTCAGCACATATACTGCACTGCAGTTCACTTTCCAAAATTTCACCAACTTCGTTTAACAAAGTTTCTTTCGATGAGCCCTCACCATTGTCCGGTGCACAGTAATTTTCTAAAATTGTATTCTTCTCTGTCTCCACCATGAGCAGCTGGTTTTTAACCTGGTGTATTATTACATATCTAAGTAAATAAGGTACTTTTCATAGTTTTGAATATGTAGTTTGTTGGTAATCAAGTTCTAAAATATTAATGTTACTGACAAATGCCGCACAAATAGAGATCATACAAAATGCCATTTGCATTTTTCATTTTGATTATAGCTCTGAATTACATTGGCGTAATAAGTGTGCCAATTCTGATATAAAAATGTTACACATGTAAAAATTTCAACAATTGCATCATTTACATTTCGTATTGCAATATCTAAAAGCAGTGAAACTGTGTAATTTCAGAGATGGCCTAAAAATAAAAGAAATATAAAAGAATGCAAAATACATGCTAGTATCATAACACTGCACATTATGATACTAAAAAATCCGGAAAACTGCGAGTCGGACTCCCCACCGAGCGTTCCCAGCGATTTGTAGGTACATACTGTAAATAGTTCAGGAATCGACTTCCGCAGTATTTGCCGAGCTTTTCCCGAAATTCAGTTTCCAAAACTTATGATTTAATTTCCAAATGTATAGTTTTCAGATTTTCCTTATAGTATAAAACGTTGTCACTTGCCAAATTTCATAATTCTAGGTGAACGGAAAGTACCCTATAAATTTTGATTTCCTTGAGAGTGTCGAAATATGTGACAACATAGTGATCACTTTTTTGTACTGTACAAGGGTTCCGTTTTTCATTTTGAGGTACGGAGCACTAGAAAGCTTATTCAGCTGTTAACTATACTAATACTATAAATTGTAGACTGGAACAGATCAATATAAGAGAAAGAGGTGGCTCAGTCCTTATTACAAGCAAATTAATTAACCTATTACAAGTGTGGTTCCCATTTTATGCCAAGATGTCAAACTCTTCCAAAATTACAAATATGTAAATTTGGAAAAATTAAATCGAGAATCACCAGACTATTTCAATACAGGGCCTTGTGGTACTCAAGCAACTCTTGAGTACCACAAGTTTATTAGTAACTTGCACAAAAAAGTCTTACAGGGTTTTAAAGCTCTAACAGAAGAGTTTGTGTGTGTTGTTTGTTTGTTTGTAAAAGAGCAGAGTCGGAAGTGCTCATCTGATTTAACATGCCTAAAGAGATGAAAATAGCATTTATTATAATAACTTACTTTCTCCAGTTGTTCTTGTAATATACTTATAACTTCACCTGATTGTTCTGCCTGTTTTTGGATTCGCTCTGCAGCCAATGCTGCTAACTCAGTTTCTCTTTCAGTAACACGTGTCTGGATAAAAAAATATATAATTGTATGTTAGAAATCCGGACAAGTGCGACTCGGACTCGCCCACCGAGGTGGGCAAATGTGTACGGAACACACATTTGTAGGTACAAATTATAAATAGTTCAGAAATCGAATCTCGCAGTTTGTTTTTGCCTAATTCAGTTTCCAAAACCTTTTCTTATTCTTGACTTTTATAAGAGAAATTGTATCTCGATGATTGATTACGAACTTTAAATAACGACTTTTTTTTATGATTTACAAATGCATAGTTTTCAGATTTTTCTCTGTACTTGTAGTGTAAGACGATGTTACTTGCCATATTTTAGAGTTATAGGTCAACGGCAAGTATCCTATTAATTTTGATCATATCATATCATATCATTTTGAATATGGCATAAACATTGGTATTATTTTTTTTGCGTTAACTTAGAAGTTTGTTTTTTTCACAGCTTCAAGAGACTGTAGACCTGATTACATCGTTTTAATTTCAACTCGATATCCTCCACGCGTTGCCGACATAAAGGGTCTTGACAGACAGACAGACAGACAGAGGGACGGACGGACAACAAAGTGATCCTATAATGGTTCCGTTTTTTCCTTTTGAGGTATGGACCCCAAAAAAACGTTGGTCTGTATTATTTTCACACAATTTCATTTAAATTTACTTAGCACAAAATTATAAAATCATCTTTTGTAGTTAGTAATCATAATGATAAACATCGTGATTCAAGGCTTCTAAAGGTGTATTGTGTTTTTCACTATCTGAGTATTACTTCACTTAGTTTAGTTACAAATGACTAATTAATTTAATTACTACTACTTATTACTAATTAATTAGTTATTTTAAATAAACATTATTTATATACAATACGTAACTTTAAAATTGTTAATTTAGTACTTCTCGCACACGTTAATTTAATAGGTATATATTTTATACCATAATTTGCTTACACTACAGTACAACAAATGTATTTATTATCAATATGGAATGAATTCATTTGTCATATTATTAAAATGAAGTAATTAAATATTGTATCCAACTAGACCAAATATTAGGATAAATTTAAGCCAGATATCCATTTCCTCTCTTAGTGTATATATATTGATATCATGTTAAGCGAATGAATGCAAATGTTACCGTTAGTTCCTGAATAGACCTTGCTGCAGTTATTTGTGCTTCTTGTAATCTCTGCTGTATTTCCTCCCTTTCCTTCGTCTGTAAATTAAATATTCCTAATGAATATAGGAACTACAAAAATTAGTAAAAGCAGTAGAAGATAATATTCTGCAACTGATTTTACTTCTATACAAATCATCTGTATATATTGGATAGGCAGATGGTGTACTACACATCTGGCTATCAAATGCCAAAGGACTGCTACGCCAAAGGTTGCGGGTTTAATTCCTGCTCAACTCGTACATTTGTGTGCATGAACATTTGGTCTGGGTGTTTCAATGTATAATTTGTATGTATTTAAAAAAAAAGTATATACATATCTATTAATATCAGTTGTCTAGTACCCATAGGATATGCTCAGCTTAGTTGGGGACTAGATGGCATTGTGTGAATGAGGTAGACTATTACTATAATAAATAATACATATAGAATACTTTTTATGCATTATGAAAAAAATGGTGAATGCAGAATTGCAAAATTTTAAATATTTAAAGATTATGTATTAAAGAAATAAATTATTTAGATTACAAATAATATGTGTAGATAGCTACATCAAGCTTCCCCCATCTGGTATATGGATAACTAAAATAAATTATGTTAGTAATTCGATAACCAGCCAATCTCTAGTTCCTCCCTACCCATTGTTTATGAACATGTGTTTAGAAAATAAATAATACCAGTTCATCTATTTTTATTTTCTCCTCATCACTTAATTTCTTCATTTTCTCTAATTGCTCATTAAGTAACTGTTCGGCTTTCAATTTCTCTTGTTCTGTTTGTAACACTTTTTCCTCCAAATTATCTTTTATATCGGCCAGTTCCTTTTTCAGTTCTGCTTCTCTCTGCCTCTTTTGTTCTTCTATTTCTTTTATTTGCTTAAAGAAAAACAAAACCTTATCTAGTAGTACTATCAGATAATACAATATGTAATGGAATGCACAGAGCCTGGCCAAGACATCAATCAACCAAATTATTCTAAGTACTTACTGATGTGAAATACATTCAGTGCTTACTTATATTATATGTTGTTAAAGTATTTGTGGAATGAATGGTAAATTGTAAGTAGGATAATTATTTGTCACATGACCTACTGTACTTTGATACACAAATAGTATGGAAATAACAAAGAAAACTTTGTTATAAATATACAAACCTGTTCTTTAATATTTTTAAGCTTTTCTACTTCTCTATGAAGTAACTCTGAAGCTTCTTGTCTTTCCTTAGCTCTAACCTCTTCTTGTTCATTTATTTTGGCCTCTAATTTTTCCAACATATCTTTCTTTGATGAATTTTCTCGACTGAGTTCTGCCAAAAACTCTTCTCTTTCCTTCTCCAGCTTTTTCTTCAAGGAACTGTTTTCCTTCATTAGTTCAATTTCTGCTTCATTATGTTTCTGAACTTGTTTCTGCAATGAATAAAATCTTCAGTTATGCCTCTGCAATTTTCATGCATGCATTATTAAAGTATAACCTAAATATAAATGCTACTTTTAAGAGCTTGGAGACTACTCCCTCACCCAAAACCACATCATACACAAAAAAGCAAATAAAACACCATAAAAAATATTTTTTATATACAAAAATTTACACAGCCATTGCTTTATTGTAAAACTAGCTGACCCGCGCAACTTCGTCTGCGTCTCTCAAAAGTAATAATTTTTCTCCGTTTTTGAAACATTCTTCATTGGTGCTCCGCTCCTATTGGTCTTAGCGTGATGATATATAGCCTATAGCCTTCCTCGATAAATGGGCTATCTAACACTGAAAGAATTTTTCAAATCGGACCAGTAGTTCCAGAGATTAGCGCGTTCAAACAAACAAACAAACAAACTCTTCAGCTTTATAATATTAGTATAGATATGTATATTGTAAAAATATGTATGTATGTTATTTGTTTTATTATATACAGATCTATTTAATTCAATAAAGCTTGAGGAAGAGTTATAAAAAAATGACAAATAATGCCTTTTTTATAGAATAAATTAATTAAAGTAAGTTGAATATAACTCGAGATTGCTTGAATTAAAAATAGTGAGTAACAGAAGTTATGGATTTTTACCATCAACACCCCAATTTTTTCCTCCATTTCGCATTTGATAACAGCAAGTTGAGCATCCCTTTCTTCGAGTAGTATTGCCTTCTGTCTTTCAATTTCGTTCTTTTCTCCTTTTAGATTTTCTATTTGTAAAGTAAAATCTGCTTCAAGATGTTTTACTCTACTGGTCATTTCTTTATGTAACTGCCTCGTTATTATCATTGATGTTGTTTGCATGTGTTTCACATTTTTTAATTTTTGTTCTATATGCTCAATTTCATGACTTTGTGACTCTTCAAACTTTATCTTCATATTATTTATTATACTGCTATCATCTATGTTACCTTCCTCCAATTTTATCCGTTTTCTAGGTATTTCAAATACATCTTCTACCTGATTTTTAAATTCATATACAAATTCTTCTGTCTGTTCTAATGTTAAAACATCTCCATCAGACAGTTTCTTTGAAAAGCCCTTTCCCAAAAGACTGCCATTAATTTTTATACCAAAACTGCTGTTGTCTTCAATCATCCAACCATTTTGAGCATCTTTTTTAAGTAAGCAATGATTTCTTGATATGGCTATATAGGGTATCACTAGTGAGTTATTTAATCCTCGACCCAGGGAAAACTAAAAAAAAAGGTTTGTACTTTCAAATGTTAATAATAATAAGATTTTAACTTAGGTTATACTGAGTTCAATTTTTAGTCTGCGTTGAAGTCTTGTACCATTTAAAATAGCAGAGATTACTTATAAGTTAAATAAATACTTACTGTATCACAGGTTATTTGAATTGTTTGTAGATCACTAAATTCAGACTTTAACTTCTTACGAGAAATAAGTACTGGGCAAGTTTCGCCGTCACCCATGGTGTCATAGATGCATATGTGATTCCAATCCAGATATTTTTATAGATTTACTTCACTTACGTACGTAGATTATAATATTACAGTAAAATATCTCAATAAACTTCAAACAAACAATAAAAAGACAGTAAACCTTCAACGATGTCAAACGTCAAAATTTATAAACAGGAAGTGATTTTTTTATTCAGATAAATTTAAACCATAGACAGTTACAAAAGGTTTTAGCCGGTAGTGCACAAAAAGAATTTTGGCTACACAGTGATTGTTTGTGGACAATTTCAGTATTTATCTTAAAAAAATCTAAACACATTAATAAGCTAAGTACAAGAATTAACAACGCTTGAAGTTATATATTATATAACTACTGTATGTGAGGAAACATATCCCAAAAATTTATTTATTTATTTTTTTATTTATTTATTAAAAACAATTACAGTGTCTTTACAGGATTTATCCCAAAACGATACTGTAAGTAAAAACAGTAAGTAACAGTTATTTATATATAAAAATCATTTGCTGTAATACATCTCTGTGCGACTTCTTTGAAGTTCGGCAGGCTACAGTTGTAGATATCTATTTGTATTGAAATAATATTAATTAGCCTTAGCCTTAAAATGAAATAACCGATAACACGGTTCAATATACGTCGGTTAAAATAAAAAAATTAGTACGAAAATACAGAAATGCAAAAGTTAGAACAAAATAAATACAATACAATAATTGCCGAATTAGAACACCATTGATAACATGAGGCGGCGAACTTTACATTCTTATTACCTAAAAAAAAATACACCAGTGGAATAATAATATGAAACTGTATAATTTCTACGAATACCTAGTGTGAAACCTGGAAAAAAAACCGAATAACATACAGGCATATAATTTAGTACATTTATATTATAGGCGTTATTTATAAATAATTAGTTTTTTATCAAATGACAGGACTCTGAAGTACTGTTAATCAATTACAAGATCATTTTATGCGCTCTAACAATATCATTTTCTTCACTCTAAGACTAAGAGCATCAGAAAAATAATATCACATATGACAATTTTGTGCAGACCTTTTTTTAAATGTTTATGATGGGTTAGTGAAAGGGTAGATAAAGGATCTCAGGTTGACGATATATATACCGATTTCTCAAGCGCCTTTGATAAAGTCCATCACTGTGTTCTGCTTCAGAACTTGTATCTGTATGGTGTAGAGGGTTTATTGCACAGGTGGTTTGACTCGTATATTACGGGTAGATCACAAAATGTAGTGTTAAATGGATTTACGTCTAATACCTATTATTCTCTCTCAGGTGTGCCTTAGGGATCGATATTGGGTCCCAAGCTCTTTCTTATACTTAGTTTACATGCGTGCCTAGGCTTGGCAAACGTCTTTAAGCTCCGAGTCTTTACAAACGCTTTGATGCCATTTACACGCTTGCGAGTGTGCTATTGTGTTCCTGGCAGGCAAACATAGCAGACGTGGATTTTTTTATTCAAAATATAAACGGCGACACTAAACTAAAAAAAAATCGGTTGTCTGTAAAGTCGGTTTACTGACGATAGTTGAACGTGACAACGTCATAAGAAAATACTAATGGAAGGGTGCATTTTTCAAAAGAAAATTTTAATTTTATTTGTTAGACAGATGTCGAACGCTGCCGAACGCGGAGGCCGATTGTGCCTCTTTGTCGTTCGTTCCGCGCTCTCGCTTGCACTTCATGCCTTAAATGGAACGCCTCAGAGCGAGGTAACGCCGCATGAGTCATGTTTTTTCGTGCGTGCAGCCGGCTCCATCGAATTATAAGACGTTGTCACGTCAAAAATCGGTTGTCTGTAAAGTCGGTTTACTGACGATAGTTGAACGTGACCACGTCATAAGAAAACACTGATGGAATGGTTGCATTTTTCAAAAATGTATTATTGTATACGAGTAGCAGCTGTCCACGCGGACGCATCGCTCACTCAAGTAGGAGCTCTCTCCTACTTGAGTGAGCGATGTCTCTACAGATGTCGAACGCTGCCGAACGCGGAGGCCGATTGTGCCTCTTTGTCACTCGTTCCGCGCTCTCGCTTGCACTTCACGCGTTAAATGGAACGCCTCAGAGCGAGGTAACGCCGCATGAGTCATGTTTTTTCGTGCGTGCAGCCGGCTCCATTGAATTATAAGACGTTGTTACGTCAAAAACTAGCAGTACTGCTCAATCAGTAGAGCATTGAGACTTAATGTTGAATCCCGACTGCTCAACTACAATATTTATAATTTCAAATTGAGCAGTTCCCTACTGCTCAATTTGAAATTATAAATATTGTATTTACATGACGACGTATTGACACGTGGCGCCTGCAAGCACGCGCCACGTGTAAATACGTCGCAAACGCTTGCCGCGAGCTTCCTTTGATCTGTATTCAAAAACCGACACTAGTACCGATCGACGACGAGCCTACGCGAGCCGAGCCAAACACCCTTGTGTGTTTACACGCTTGTGGTTGTGGACACTTATCGAGGCTCGCAATGCGTTTAAACGGCCTATTATATTTATCAACGACATTGTCAATTTTAAACGTTACAGACATTGTTTTGTTTATGCCAATTATTTGAAATTGTTTGGAGAGGTTAACGATATTATGGATAAAAATGGCTTACAAGATGATCTCAATGCAATATCAGTATGGTGTTGAAATAACAACATGTGTCTTAATCCATTTAAATATTTGCATAGTAAATTTACCAGTAAAAAACAGTTTTTTGACTCAGCTTACGCAATTAATGATATAAAATAAGAAGAAGTATCAATGATTGGTGTTTTTCGATGATCATTTGATTCATCAATGGGATTGAAATTTATAGTGTTCATGGCCACGGTAATTTCATTTTTATCAGTTCTGTATTGATTTTTAATCATGGGTTTTCTATTTACTTTATTATTTAAGCATAGGAGAACAGATTGATGGTCCCATAGAGTAGTGTTTATAACCAAAGTTAGTAACCCGTGCCGAGCGTAAAGATTTAAATAGTCAGAAAAATTAAATCTATGTTGACATCGCCTATAATAGATATGCTTTGAAAAGTTGACAATTCAGACGAAAGAGTCTCAAGAGATAGATTAAAATGTTCTAAGTTACTGTATGAGGGCGAATGATAGATTGCTATAATTGCTGTATCTGTTCCTAGTTTCAAAAGTAGACAATAACCGTCCTTAAATAGTGGCTCCTCTACCTTGATTTCAATATTATCTTCGGCATAAACAACTACTCCATCATTTTGAAGTGAGTTATTCCGGTGTAAGAATTGTAGCCTTCTATTATAGGTATTATAGGGTTACAGGAAATCCAGGCCTCAGTAAAGATGAGAATATCATACTCAGTGTTTATTTTATGTAGCAACACCAAAATTCCTTCAAAAATTTTCGAGATACTTCTAACATTTTGGTTTAATAAAAGTTTCTAATCAGTAAAAGTAATCTTTTTGTTTGGTTTGAATTATATTTTTGATTTCTTCAACTTCATAACTTAATGAGTCAGACACTGATATAGCATCTATATCTCGATTTGTCATCATCCATCGTTAAAATAAAAGGGACCAATGTTGTCCATAATTAGGAGTGCTATACTAGTAAAGAACATTTCTTTGAGACTCCAAGTATGTACGTATTTGAGTTAGTTTAAGTAAAATTATTGGTTATTATGAATATCTTTTTGGAATAACAGAGAGTGCATATTTTAAAAGGGCAACAGTTATGGCAAGCAAAATATATAGATACAATTTTAAAATACAGGAAGAAGTTAAGTTTGCTTACTATCCTACAGATAGGTATAACAGCGCGAAATTGATGTTTATAGGTCTCGGTACACCAGTTGAATAGTTAGATTGTCTTGAACTTGGTGAGATCGGCTTCGTCGTCAATTCTGATCCGAGGTTAACCTTCTTTCTTTCGTAGGTAAATTTTGACGTACGACGACCAACAAAAGGCGTACTCGTTCGATTTTGCATACTCTCGAGCCAAATAGTACAGCCTCTTAGCTCTGTTAGTTAAGCTTTCGTTTATATAAATTGTATTTGAAGGACCGAAAATTTGCAAATGTGCAGTATTTAGCTTTGTTTTATCATTCTTCATATTGTATTCTTTGAGAGATTTCAGGAAGCTATCCTTTAAAGTGGTGGAGTTAAGCTCAACTATAACTGGTTGTGTACTGCCAGGTTTAGATATTCCGCGATAAATATCCTTGACAACTGCCATCTGTACTTCCAAACTCAATGTCCTACCAATCTCTCTTATTACCTTAGAGAGGACAGTCTTTGTTTCGTTTTGAAGTTTTGGTATATTTCGTACTTCCAACTTAGCTGAACACCGAGCTCTTTCTATATTTTCTATTTTGTTCTCCAAAATCTTAATATATGTAAGTTGTTCTTTTCTTAACGTCATCATACTTGTCCGACAGTAATAGCATAGAGTAGTTATAGCATCGTTTTGCTTCTTTATTTCCTCTACAGTGACCTGCAAGTTAGCTAAACTTATGTTTTGTTGCGAAGCAAAATTTGCAAATTGCTGTCTCATTTCATCCATGAACTCATCAGAATCAAAAGATCTTTTTCTTTTAGAGCGTAAGTATACATTCAGGTTACCGCCGTAATCAGGCACTTCTAGTTGCTCGTTACCAATTGCCTCAATATTAGAATCTGATACAGATTTACATATTCAGAGGGGTTCGTTTAAGCGGCATCGTAGTAAATTAAAATGCGAGCGAATAGTTCTGTTTATGTAAATTATTCACCAAGCGAGGCAACTTGTAAAGAAGTATTAAAGCCTAACTCGTAGCAGATCGGTCGAAAAATTGTAAAAAATGTTATTTTGGCATATGTACCGTGTAAACATACATAATAATATGCATTTAGTAAAAAGCGGTTATTTTAATATTACAAACAGACACTCAATTTACAATTTTTCTGTCTGTTTGCTAAGGGTAATCTCTGGAACGGCTGGACCGATTTCGACGGGCTTTTCACTGGC